AATTATGATTCATCAACTTGACAGAAAATTCTAGTCATTTAAAAATGATAATTATGGAAATATATGGAAAATAGGGAAATGTTTACAATACAATATTAACTTAAAGAATACAAAGCATATGTACACTGGGAAATATGTGAACATTGTGTGTACATAAAAGGAACAAATTAAAAGGTAAAATTTTTAAATGATAATAGATAGCTTTTAGAAAGGGCTTCCCTGGTGACTCAGATGGTAAAGAATCTGCCTGCCATGCAGGAGACCTGGGTTCGATCTCTGGGTCAAGAAGATATCTTGGAGAAGGGAATGGCAACCCACTTCACTATTCTCGCCTGGAAAATTCTATGGACAGAGGAGCCTAGCAGGCTACATACAGTCCATGGGGTCTCAAAGAGTCGGACACGACTGAGTAACCAACATACGCCGAAAGCCATGGGATAATTGTTTACTCTTTCAAATATTTCTATGATGTTTACAACAACAAAAAATCCCAACATACTCTATTAACACTAGTCTAGAGAGTGATGTAAGAATGCTCTTCATACTTTCCCAACCCTCCTTATGCAGGAGATTAGTGGTGATCATGTCCATTTACATGGAAATTTGTTATATATTTTAAAAAGACAATAAAATAATATATATTTTATAATTCAACATAATCTAACACACACACAGCTAGAGGATACAAACTGGAATATCTATTGAGGCGATCTCTAGGTGGTGAGATTACAGGGAATTCTTTCTTTTTCTTCATACTGTTTTTCAACTTCATGTTACACACACGTTGCTTTGCTCAGTTGTGTCCGACTCTTCACGACCCTATGGACTGCAGCCTGTCAGGCTCCTCTGTCCATGTAATCTTCCAGGTGAGAACCCTAGATGGGTTTCCATTTCCTCCTCCAGGGGATCTTCCCAACTCAGGGATCGAACTCGCATCTCCTGAGTTGGCAGGCAGATTCTTTACCACTAGTGCCACCTGGGAAGCCCGTTATACACATGTGTTTATTTCTAATAACTTTGTAAAAAGAATTGTATTGGTAAGCTATTACTAAACTAACCTATTTAAAAATAATATACTTTGGTAACCAACTTCATAATTTCAACAGGAAAACAGGACAACTTTCTCATATCATTTATTCTATACTCGGAGTTCATTAATTCTATTCTTTTGGTTAGACTCATCAACAATTATGTCTCATGCTAGTAATTCAGAAATGATCGGTTGACAATCTACCTACTTATAGTTTATGTACAAGCCCAACTATACACTCAAATCATTGAGCAATGAATCCATATCAAGAAGAAAATGCCATTCATAATGACTTAATTTTAAGGATTTAAATACGTTTTCCTTAAATTAATACTTCTTACTATAAACTTTAAAGCCTAGTAGAAAAATCTTGGAAAGTCATATTCCCTAGCAAGAGAATTGGTAAGAAAATAACCCTAAGTTATTAGTGAAAGTGAAGTCGCTCAGTCATGTCCAACTCTTTGTGACCCCATGAACTATACAGTCTATGGAATTCTCTAGGCCAGAATACTGGAGTGGGTAGCCTTTCCCTTCTTCAGGCGATCTTTCCAACCCAGGGATTGAACCCAGGTCTCCCTCATGGCAGGCGGATTCTTTACCAGCTGAGCCACGAGCACGGAGTCTTAGCCATTGGACCACCAGGGAAGTCCCCCTTAATTATTAGGTAGAAATATATAACATTATCACTGAAAATAAATGATGACTTTCAGTAAGTACTTTTAAGACAGTTTAACTGTTTTATTTTAAAATTAGGAAAAAATCTTGAAATCTGAATATACTCTGTGGTTGAGAAAAAACAAATATCAGAAGTCAGGAGAAAGAACAAATGAATAGAAAAGAAGGAAAAATAAGAGCCAAAACTTAGAGGGCCCTAAGAAGAAAAAAATAATTCCAGAATAGGAGGAATTAGATTATAAGCAAATTTTAAGCCCAGCACAGTCAATAAATATCCATAGGAATAGATTATGATGATGACAAAGGTTAAGGAATATTACATTTGCCAGGAGGTGGGACTATCAGGGAAGAAAAGAAAATGTTATAGAGTATAGCAAAAAACCAGTTATATTCAAAACTATTAACTGAAGTCTTTCAAAAATGGAAGGAATTTTATCTATTTGGCATGGTTTTAAAAATGTAGGCCTGTGTGAAGGAATGGATACTATGAATATTTGGTATGTTCTATTGTTGAGTTTTAAAGTGGGCATCTAAAATGAGAGAAGTCCTAAATATGAGAACTCAGACTAATATATTCACTGTCTCAGATCTGATTGGTTAAAATTGAGATAATTTCATCCAATCTCATCCTGGCATATGTGTGGATCAAGGATAACGTATAACATTGTTCTTCCTCTTGTAAGTTATTAAATGGCACACATAGGCAATGGATCCATGCTATTCCAAAAGTTTTCCCCCTTTTGCCTATGCCAAGCATGGTTTTTATTCTCTCAAGCCATTTCTTCCTCAAAAGAGTTCACCAAAGTTGTCATCCTTCCTATCAGCAGCCCCACTGGGCTCTGATGAGTGACATCCAGACATTTAAACTCAAAAGCTGCTTCAGAAGGGAGTTATTAAAATTCAAATGAGCTGGGCATATTGAAGAAGAAAACACTCGTTTGCATGCACACCTCCGCATTTGGCCATCCCATTTAGACCCATAGAGCAGGGTCTGGTTTTGTCTTTGTAAATGGGCTTCCGAGGCGGAGGTCAGCCTCCCACGGCCCCCACTCCTCTGGGGTCATCATTAGTAATGTGTAAGGCTGAATAGATTTTCCTTGGAATCTAGTCAGGAAACCTGACAAAAAGGCAGCCCTCTCCCACAACCTGAAAATGCCAAAAATCTGATTGGTAATAAGTCATTTTTAAAATATTTCATTTACTTGTCTTCAAATAGCTTTAATAGCAAGATTTTACATAACATTTCTGATGTCAATTTCACTTGATGTTTTTCAGTTTTGGAATGGAATATTTCCTATTGTATTGTGACAGACCAATCACAAAAATGTTACATTTTATCAAGAATTTCCACAAGATTCAGAGAAAATTCACTTCTGCTAAGAAACATGAATCTAGGGAGTTAAATGACATTTTAGTCACTGAAAAGGAGTCTGTGTTTCATTTGGTTTAAGAATCTTATTTCTCATGGAAAAATCTCACATTAGCATCATTTAAAAAGTTTATAAGATATCAGTGAACAAACTAACAAAAACAAACCAACAAAAAACTAGAGCAAAAATATATGTTCCTAGAATTATTCAGCAGCAGCAGCAGAATTATTCTAACCATGCAAATTTTAGATGTTTCTTTAGTAAGAATTCAATTTCCTATTAATGGAGACATCTCTGCTACAATATCTACTTTATTTTTTTCATTTATTTTTATTAATTGGAGGCTAATTACTTTACAATATTGTAGTGGTTTTTGCCATACATTGACATGAATCAGCCATGGATCTACATGTGTTCCCCATCCCGATCCCCCCTCCCACCTCCCTCCCCATCTCATCCCTCTGGGTCTTCCCAGTGCACCAGCCCTGAGCACTTGTCTCATGCATCCAACCTGGGCTGGTGATCTGTTTCACCCTTGATAGTATACTTGTTTCAATGCTATTCTCTCAGAACATCCCACCCTCGCCTTCTCCCACAGAGTCCCAGAGTCTGGTCTGTACATCTGTGTCTCTTTTTTCTGTTTTGCATATAGGGTTATCATTACCATCTTTTTAAATCCCAGTATACTGTATTGGTCTTTATCTTTCTGGCTTACTTCACTCTGTATAATGGGCTTCAGTTTTATCCATCTCATTAGAACTGATTCAAATGAATTCTTTGCAATATCTACTTTAAAAAGATTTAATTTATGGCAATATATAAACAACTCCATATTATGTGTAATAAATGACATGGTCATATATACACGTATCTGTGCAACAATGATGTAACATTATACCAACTTTTACTGAAGATATGAAAAGCAAGTCATGCTAACTCACAACTCAAGGATAATAGCACAATTTCTGTAACTCCAGAAACTAAGGGAATTTATGTCCAAGTTTTGAAAGTAGTTTATAACTTGGAAGCTCCAGGGATTACTGTACTCAGTAGAAACCTAGACAACAGACATGACCTCTAATGTCCCTTCCAATGGTAAGATTTTATTCTTCCATGACCTCCATTAATCAAATTTTCTTCCTCCAGATATCTTCATTTTAATTTGTTTAAAGACTTTCCCCCTAAAATTTGGATGGATTTGTTATAATACAGGCATTGGTTTCGCCCATTGGTTTTGACTGACACAACCAGCCCAACGAAGAATGAAACTAGCAAAACATCAGTGAAAGAACATTACATAAAACTGGTTCCTCAGCTACAACACACTCAGTTTGGATCCATTTTTTCCTCAAAGAATAAATTTATAGATGTGTATCATTAATGTGCATTTATTTAAAAATTTATGTGGGATTATTTTGGCTCCAGTTAAAAACAAAAGCACTAAATCTCTGTCTTTCTGTTGTTGGTGGCAGCAACAAAGAATCACAAAGGTATTATTGCAGAGAAAAAGAATACAAGCTAAAATTAAGAACCAGAGCCAGTGATTCCAACAACACAGAGTGATCACACAAAGTTCAAGAAGACCTACCTCCAAAGTCAGGTCCTGTAATACAAACATGTGTTTTCTCTTTTAAGTCACACTCGCTTGAAATTGACAATAAAAGTAATGTGCTCTTATACTTTTGAAATGGCCAAAAGGAAGATTAGATATTAGATTGGTAATTTCAAGCGGATACACAGTATGTATGTTTGTGTATCACTTATTTTGTAGTTGGTCTCTGAGTCAGCTCTACTGCAAAGATGATCTGGAGGGAGGAGAAATTATTCACCCTTTCAGATTTGTATTGTTTAATCTACAGAAGCAAGCTTAGGACATACAAACTTAACATCTAGAAAGAAAGAGTTCAAGAAATGTGCTCACTTGCCTTTTTTTCCTCCTGTAACGAAGAAGCCAACGGCTGCTCTAATAAAACTGCTTTCAGGCAAATAGCTGTAGTCAGTAGGAACTGTGGAGACAGAAAATGATCAAATTAACCAGTGAACTTGGCAGGACTAATGAAGGAAAGATAATGATCTCATGCTGCTATATCAACCTAGAGACAAAGCGGAGATGTTTATGCCATTAATCTCAGAACAATACTCTGTGGTTGCAACTAATTCTATTAGATTAAGTGGCTGGCCTTGAAGTAATCACTGAGACTATGCAAGCAAATCTAAAACGGTGGTAAATCTGGGAGGGGTTGGAAAAAACCATAGAAGAAGAAAATTGTACTGAAGTGGTTTAAAAAAAAAAACAACACCCTTTTCCACTGTGGCACATCAATGAACTCCAATCCAGTGACCTCCTCTGTGTCAGAACAGAGTCCGCTGGACTTCTAAGCTGAGACCACCATTCTATGGGCTATCAAGGGCATCCTGAGTCAGATATATGAACCATGGAAATACGTCAATCAGTATTAATACTAGTCACTCTCTTATTTCATGAGACAGGGACTTCTATGTGAGCGACACATACAAAAAACCAGCTGTGCCTGCTGACCTGAAATAGCGACGCAGTGACATTTATGCTAGTTGAGTCCTGGGAGTTTTCTAGATTCTTTTCCTCCTGGTTCCCCATATTGTTTCATGAGATGGTTTTTACTGGGATAGATGGCTCCACTGGAAAATTCCATCAGAAATGAGCAGTTGTACTTTTCCAGACACACAGTCATTTTGCTCCAAAGAACCTGAGTATAAGAAGATTCACTACAACTGACCTCGAATATATGTGGGCCAGACTATGTAGCCCATAGCATAACAATGACAAGCCTATGTAAAAAAGCAAAAGCCTGACATAAACATGCTACTTTTACCAGGACATTGAGAGACCATTGTCCTTCAGGCCTAGCATTACCTAGGGTTTTCAATATGACAATGTTTTTTTTTTTCTTTTTCCAGTTTTAATATGACAGCTTCTCTGGTATCTCAGTTGGTAAAGAATTCCTTGGTTGGGCAGATCCCCTGGAGAAGGGATAGGCTATCCTCCCTAGTATTCTTGGGCTCCCCTGGTGGCTCAGATGGTAAAGAATCTGCCTGCAATGCAGGAGACCTGTGTTCAATCCCTGGGTTGGGAAGATCCTCTGGAGAAGGGAACAGCAGTATTCTTCCCCACTCCAGAATTCTTGCCTGGAGAATTCCATGGATAGAGGGAGAATTCCATGGATAGAGGGAGAATTCCATGGACAGAGGAGCCTGGCAGTTTACAGTCCATGTGGTTGCAAAGAGTCAGACACAACTGAGCAAGCTTCACTTCACAGTATGACAGCTTTTAAATGTATAAAGTTCATTATGTGGGGAATGCTGTGGAACCATGCACTATGTATATAGCTAAGGAATGACTGAAAGGCAGGGAATCAGTAATTACGGTGGCCCGCGTTCATGGTAATGCTGTCGGTAGAATATCTGTCAGGGGATGTGTGAAACTAGGTTTTAGTGAGGAATCTTTGGTAACTAAACCTCCCTGGCCTGAGTCCAAGGGAGCCAGTGGTCAAAATTCTATAAAGAGCAACAAGCAGATATAGGCCCCAGTGCATTACACTGATGTCTTCCCCAGAAAATCTCCAAGTCCATACATAAATTAAGCACGTGGGAACTGCAAATATTTTTATTGCTTTTATTAAAAAGCAATAGAAATAGAAAAAATCTTGCTACATTAAGACCTAGGATTTTAATTCCAAGGCCAAGGAGATGCACATCTTTAAAACAATTTACCTCAGTCTTTTCTCAATGCAGGGGCCAGAAGAATTCCAGTCATATGAAGAGTCTCTTAATGAAATATGAATGTTATACAAACTATGATTACATCTAGTCAAGTAAAAAGAACTCTGTTCCAAGCTTCAAGGATCTGATTCCTAGTTTCTGGATTTCTCACTAAGCTTGGACCTATGTCACGTAATCCTTCTGAGTCTTCGGTTCTTTGTAAAATATGGTGTTAGACCCAACATCTAAACTGAGCTCTAAGGAAGGAAGAGAGGGAGAGTGAAAAGAGCACAGGCTTTGGTGGCTGTCAGATCTGATTTCAAACTGTGTATTTCCCACTTAACTGCTGTGTAACTCTGGGCAAGTCAGGAGACTTCTCCATGGTCCATCTTCCTCTGACGTAAAAGAGGGACAGTAACACACAGCCCTGAGGATGGCTGTGAAAATTAACACTCTTAACCAAGTAGACAGCCCCACGGCAGCACCCCTCCTTCCAGTTCCCATGCCCTATGACTCCAATCTTACCCGAGGTTCTACTTTGATTTGAGGACAGAGTAGACAGATGAAGATGTCCTAGAAGCCAGATGGCATTTGACTGAAGACCAATCACCCCAGACACACTGATGACCTATGAATGAAATGTTAACAGTTCAACGATGAGCAAGATGCAAATTCCACTCAATAAAAGGCCACACACAGAAGGTCACTAATCTTTCATGAGGTGGCAGCTTGGCTGGTAATGAGAAGCTCTATGACAAGACGTACTATCCTCTGTGTAGTATGCTAGATGTGGGACACAGAGGTGATCGACAAGTGTTGCTGAATGAAAGAATGAATGAATCTATCAGTCATGACAGAAGGCATCAGTGATTGTCTCAGATTTCACTGGGTCAGACTGGTCTAAAGGAGTTTTCAAAAAATGGGAAAAGAAAATCCAAAAAGTAAAAAGGGCTGATAGTTGCTTAGGACTAAAATACGTTTAAAAGTAGAAGGAGATATTATTTGGTTCTCTTCTTTAAACAGTGTTCTATTACTATTTTACCATTCATAATATGATCTTTTAAATAATATTTTTCATTTACAGATTTTTTTTACCTAAGTTATGGCAATTTAAGTTTCAGGAAATTTTTGAGAATATTTACATTCATACATGCAAAAGACAGTTTCTTCTGTTCCAGGATTTGTTTGCTTTCAAAGGCATGAATTACTACAACTTCTTCATGTGGTGAGTATTATAACCAGCTATATTTTACAAAAAAAAAAAAAGACAAAACAAGTATGCTAGGTGAAAGCGGAGGACACAAAAGTCTACATGTGGTAAGAATATAACTATGCAGAGAAAATAAGAACGCTTATAAAGAAACATGACCAAATATGAGTAGCAGCTGCTTCAGGTTGAGAGGAGCCTCAGTGATATTTTTTTAGCTTCTTCCATTCAATGAACATCATACCATTTTAAATAAAAATCTGAAAATATAAAATCATTTCTAAGCAGATGGACAATTTTATTCTTTAGCCAAGAATAACTCTGACAATAATTCACTCAAATACTTTTAGTGACATCTGAACTAGTGCCTCTTGACTATTCTGCTTAGCTATCTGCCCTGCCCTTTGACAGTCTTCTATTTTTCCTTGTCTGGAGGGCCTGACATTCTCTGCATGGTTGGGTTTTAATTTTTAAGAGAAACCAAAGTAACTTAAGTTAACTCAATAATTCCAGCTTTCTTTTTTTCCAGAGGTGATGTATGTTGGTCAGCAAATGCAGGGCCCTAAGTGATTCTCCATTGCCCCTGGAACTCACCACGAATGACCAGAGATTTCCCCATTTTCTATGTAAGACAGTTTTTATCATGAGAAGGAAAAAGACAACGAAGGGGAATATCTGTTTTCCCACTTAAGGATTTGAAATTCTTCTTCTTACCTGAGTTAAAGTTCTAATGACTTCATTAAGTCTGCCTTGAAACTGAGAGGACTGGATGGCTTCTGACTTCAGCTGAAAGAAAAAGGAGAGATAACCATTCAAAAAAGTAGATAATGATACTCCCACCATATGAGTTGCCATTGTCTAAGCTATGGAATAACTTATCACATTTCCTTATATTTCAAAAACAAAAACCATGAGCTCCTTGAGGGCAAGATCCATGTTTTATTAAATTACTGATATCCTAAGGCCAGTTCAGTGTGGCAAGTAGCAGTCACTTAATAAACCTTCACTGTATGAACAAAGGAATGCCTTAGAATTACTTGTAAATTTATACATATAGATGGGCTTCCCTGGTGGTTCAGAAGGTAAAGAATTTGCCTTCAATGCAGGACACTCGGGTTCAGTGCCTGAGTTGGGAAGATTCCCTGGAGAAGGGCATGGCAACCCACTCCAGTACTCTTGCCTGGAAAATTCCATGGACAGAGGAGCCTGGAGGGCTATAGTTCATGGGGTCACAAAGAGTCAGACACGACTGAGAGACTAACATGTTTACTTTCTTCCAAGTCTACAGTAGAGAAGCTTTTAAAGTTTTTAAAAACTTTTAAAGTTTATAGAAAGCATAATTACATAGATATATACTTAAACATTACAGATGCAAAGAGGAGTTTCCTATTTCAAATTTTTGAAATTTCTTAGGATCCAATTGCTTTCCTCAGGCAGAGAACTTTATGGAAAGTACATAAGTTGACTAGGTTTAATTCCTACAACCCAAATAAAACAAGGAACAAATTTCTACAAAAAGAATTCTTGGCTGAGAGCATATATAAAGATACTAGAGAGCCCAGTGTAACCATTACCATGAGCATATATCGGTCTTCCTTAGCATAATGAGATATTGGGTATTCCCTCCTTGCTGTGACTATGCACACATTTAGATGTCACCCCCATTTTTTTTTTTACCTGCATTACATCCCCTTCAGAGCCTACCAAGGCCACCATGCCATGAAGAGCTGCCAAGCAAAGCATTGTGGGAGAGCCCTGAAAACAAAGCATCAGAAATCAAGAGGGGAACAATCCTTGGGTTTGAATTTGATAAGAATTATATCACAGAGAAACCAATGGTCAACACGGTACAAAATTTGTAGGGTCAACACAACCTGCATCACTGAACTGAGGAGGGCAGCAGACTTGAATAAAGTAAACAAGTTAAAGTTGTTAGATCCCAGGTGGTTTCTTGTTATTTTTAGTTTTCTAAAAACTTTTTTCTTTGTTTTTTTAGTTTTCAAAACCAGAGTGCTGTTATAAAATTAAAACACTAACAAAATAGCCAGTTTAAAACAAAAACAAACAAACTACAATGGTTAACAGGATGTATCATTTATAAGGCATTACAAGTACATTGTCTCTTTCATTTGATACTGCCTATTTTTTTATGGTTAAGCTTTTATGGCAGTGCCTATAAATGGTCCAATAAAGTAGCTCTTTTTCCTTTATAAAAATATAAAATAACATGCAGGAAGCGCCTTCTACCTGTGTTAGGACAGTTTTGATCCAGGCCGGAAGCAATCTGTTCCCCAAGTCTTCAGCTTTTCCATGTCCACACACAGACAAGCCATGGATTATGTTTCCTAATGCCAGGGCAAAACCTGAAGTCTGTTAGAAATAAATTTTAAAGAGAGGTGAGAGAAAAGAAGACTGGCACAGATGAAGAATGTTCATGTATAGCAAAACAAGCACTTTGAGGGGCTCCTTTCCTACAGACACATTCTGTTGCCATCTGTACATCAGAGATTTAAAAACTCTAAACCAGTTTGCAAGAGAAAGTGCAGCCTAATTGTAAGGAATTCAGTTTCACTGAGTGGTATATTTCAGGAAAAGAACACTGCACTAGTGATTGACTTGGGTCAAACAATCCAAATTCTAAGAAGAGAGTTAGAGTGAAAACATCAGGGTGAATCACCCAAGCCCAGTCAACCTCCAAACAAGAGGAGAAAGAGCCCTGCAATGAGTATAGCATATGAAAATTCTATACTTTGGTGTTTGCAAGATCTATTCTTTTTTTCTGATTTTTTTTACATTAACTTTATTTTTGTATTGAAGTATAGTTGATTTACAAGGCAAAATCTATTCTGAATATAAGCCGGTAGGCCTATAACCATAAAATAATAACAGTAAAATACAACATAGGCTTAACACCTGGCCTGAATCCTGTAATAACCCACAATAGCCAATATTAAGACTTTGGCGAAAACTAAAAAACAAATAACCAAGCAAACAAAGGAGAAACAGGGAAATTCTAGAGCATGCATAATCAGAAGGAGCATTTTTCCCCCTCCAGCTTTAAAAAAATTATGGCAAAATGTATGTAACATAAAATTTACCATCTTAACCATTTTAAGTGAACAGTTAATGGTATGAAGTACGTTCACAATGCTGTGTGACCATCCCTCCCAATCATCTTTAGAACCTTTTTCATTTTGCAAAACTGAAATTCTATACCCATTAAACTTTAATTCCCTATCCTTCCTCCCTCAGCTTCTGGCAACCACCATTCTACTTTCTATCTTTACACTTCTGATTACTCTAAGTATGGCCTGTTTCACTCAACATAATGTCCTTGAGGTTATCCATGTCATAGCCTATGTCAAAATTTTCTTCTTTTTGAAGGGTGACTAATATTTCAGAGGGAACATTTTAAGGGTATTTCATTTACATTGCAGTAATCTAAATTTTCCTATATATTTAGTCATGAGCAGAGATTCTCTGCCTTGAATTTGTGGAGGTTTTACTTTATTATTCTATGTATTTTTATCTTTATGAATTTTTGTCTCTAGCCTTACATAACTCTTCTATTCCCTAGCCATGTGCTTTAAGATTTTATACAGAGCAATAATTGGAGAGAGCAAAAAGACTTTCAGACTCACACCAAAAAAGAAAAAAATGTCTATAGGGGATAAAGAGAGAAAAAGATGTCTGTAGATACTGGCTAAAGCTGTGGATAACAATTAGACGTTTCTCATTTCTGGGCACAAAAAAATACTTCATTAAAGTGTAATTCAGAATAAATCAGAATTAGGACTTCAAAGCAGCCTGAAACCCACAGAGAAATAACCAGAAATTCCAACCTGCTGGTTGTTGTCCACTAACAGTCGAAGCTTGTTCATGATATCTTCAGCCTCCACTGCCTCAATGATGCCAGCACTGAACGCAGATGTACATACACAGCTGAGGGTATAGGCAAGGACCTGAGAAGAAGAGACAGCACAAACATGGGTCTTCATGAGGGAAAATGAAAGAACACGGTTTAGTTGACAGCAATACTTTCTCAAACTTATTCCTAGGATAAGGATGGGATTCGAGTATGCCCACTACAGACTGGGCACTGTTCTGCCACCTAACTTATTTGTTGCTGTTGTTATATTATTATTGTTGTTGTTGTTTAGTCACTCAATTGTGTCTGACTCTTTGCAATCCCATGGACTGTAGCCCACCAGGCTTCTCTGTCCATGAAATTTCCCAGGCAAGCACACTGGAGTGGCTGCTATTACGTCCTCCAGGGGATCTTTCCAACCCAGAAATCAAACCTGCGTCTCCTGCATTGGCAGGTGGGTTCTTTACTGCTGAACCACCAGGGAAGCCCCAACTTTTATATTTCATAACAATATTATGAGATAGGGGTTACTACTTTCTGGATAAAAATTTTGAGGCTCAACTACACATAGCTAGCAAGTGACAGAAGTGAGATTCAAACCTGGGTCTTTAGACTAAATCAAAAAGCTCCTTCAACAGTAGAAGTAGAGTTTCATTACCAGTGGATACTGCTAATGGCCATGGACTCTGATCCAAGGTCAAACAGGAGAGGAAATTCAAAGAAGTGAAACGCTGCTACATTAAGATTCCCTAGTAGAAGCAGTGGAGCATGATGGACAAGGAAGGTAGGTTTCAGAGTCAGATAACTGTGTAAAATAGGGATAATACTATTTACTTCAGAGCACTGGTGTGTGATTTTAATATGAAAATGAATAAATAAACGAACACATTATAATCTTTTAAAAAAATGCTGGGAGTAGAAACAGAATATTTAAGTGTAAATCTAATATTGACCACTGATTGGCTAAGTAACTTTAAGCAAGTCACTCCATCAATTTGAGCTTTCATTTCCCCAAATCAAGGTGATGCATCCCTCCCTGCGTTGGCATTTTCATGATGAATCCCTCCCTCACAAAGATGCTGTTAAGACAAAGCAGAAATGTTCGACTCCTCACACTGGTTGACACAGCATGAAAAAAGAGAGGCGGTTTCCAAGGTAGAAATTGGATAACAAAAATCAGAGGAGAGGAAAAAGCAAAACTGCTTGCTCAAGGCCTTCTAAAGCAAAACATGAAGACAGACAGATGCTTCAATTTATAAAAACCTTGTTTTCCTTTATTAACCACATTGCTCCTCGCTTATGACATTTTCTCCTTCTGCTTAAAAAAATACGTAGTTTCCAATCATGCTCTTCACCGCTTTAAACATGGAAATGCGGTGCATGTCTCAGAACAAAACTTCGAGCCTCTGAGCACCAAAGAAACCCACCGATTCAACAAGGCCTATTGCTGAAAGCAGAGGAGCCCAGCCGCGAACACAGCAGCCTTTATGCGCTCATCAATAGCTTGCGGGCAGGCTGGGGGAAGCGGGATCTGCTCTAATAAGAGGGAGAATCTGGCCAGGCCAGGAGGTCGGCCCAGGCACCTCCCAGAGAGGAGAGCCTGGCGATGAGGCTTCACCTGGGCTCACAAGCACACGGGCCTCAGACGACCAGGTGGACACGGTCAACACACAGACGGGGGCCCAGGATCCCGATTCTGCATATTTTTGGCGCCATCACAGAAAAATCTTTTTATTAAGTGTGGCAAAGGGAATTTCCTCAATAATTTCTCACGCTGGCTGACATGAAAAAAAAAAAAAAAAAGGAAAAAGAAATCGAATGCCTTTTGGATCTGTAACTTCTTAAGCTTATCCCTGGCCATTTCTTAAAGTTACATTTGGCTTGATCCTAATTCTAAAAATCTCCATTTAACCTTCCTCCAGAAATCGCAGCTTCCTTAGCCTTCTAGTGATGCCGAGTTAGGGTTCTGTATTACTCAGGGCTCTTATATGCCACACGTAAGTCTAAATTGATTTAAACAGCTCCACTATTTGAAATCCTTAGGATCTAATATGTAGGTTGTTTGCCATTCAGATTTTCTCCTTAGCTCCGCTGAAAGTGAGGAAGGATTTAGCATCAGAGTCACCAGCACAGGGGAAGTAGAGAAGCAGCAGGAGGAAAACAAACGGGGGAGTGGGGAGCGGAACCCGGGGCCCCTACCTCCTGGAAGGTTCTGCTCTGGCTCCCGCTGGCATCCAGGTATGCGGAGAGCTTCCGGAGCGAGGCGGCCACGTGAACTCGGGACTCCGTCTGGCCGCTGTGACTCATGAGGGACAGGACGAGGCCAGCTCCCAGTATGCAGCCCGTGCTCGGGTGGCAAAAAGATGGAGTGAAAACCACAAGAAACCCACGGCCTCGCTCTCCACTGTTCACGGGGGCCACCAGCGCTCTACAAACCAAGGCGAGCTGGCCGGCGTTTAGCTGCGGATGGCACACCTGTGCACCCTATGAGACCCCCGCAAGGACTGTTGTGGTTTAAAATCGCTCAGTCATGTCTGACTCTTTGCAGCCCCACGGACTATAGCCCACCAGGCTCCTCTGTGCCTGGGGACTCTCCAGATAAGAATACTGGAGCAGGTTGCCATTTCCTTCCCCAGGATACCCGCCATCCAAACAGGTGTCCATGGCCCATGCTGGTGCTGTGTACCCAGTGGAGAAAATAGATAAATACATCAAATAAATACACAAAATAGTTTGACAGGTTCCTCCCTGGTGGTGCAGTGGGTAGGAATCTGCCTGCCAATATAGGGGATATGGGTTTGAGTCCTGGTTCAGGAGGATTCCACATGCCTTGGAATAACCGAGCCTGCATGCTACAACTACTGAAGCCCATGAATCCTAGAGCCTGTGCTCTGCAACGAGAAGCCCCCTCAGTGAGATAGATTCAGACTAGAGAGTAGCCCCCCAAATAAATAAATAACCTTACAAAAGAGACAGTTTGTACAGTAATTATCCTCCAAATGAAACAAAAAAATAATTTTTTAAAAAAGAAAGTTTGACAAACTCTATATGAGAAGGAGGTATAAAAATGAGTCAAACCAGTTCTATCTCTGCATTTAGAGAAACGTTGTGGTCCTCTCCCCACCTATGCTGAGAGTGCTCTGATTAACTGCATAAGGAGAGAAAAGCCTAAATTTCAGGGTATGATCTGAGGACATCTGACTAATAACAGGGTGGGGAACAAATGCACGGCATGGTTACGAGGTACTGCCAAGAGCTTCATGTTTCCTAGTCAACTTCAACAAGCGGAATTTCTGTCTCAAAGAAACTGTGTATTTGTCTGCGCACAATGACATTAATCCTCTTCTCCCCTCTGATCCCTCCAAGTACCACCGGGTCAGAAGAGAAAATGGACAAATGACAGGCTTGTCAAAAGTTACCCCATGTGACAATTCAATTGGAATCCTGGGCATTGTGCCCCCATCCCCCTGAAAGAATACACATCCATTCAAAGAAAAGAATTGTTCTCCCAGAAAACCTCTAGTTAGTATAAGATAATGTGGCTTGAGGGTAATTTTTTACTCTTTTGAAAAAGTTCTTCTATCATCACTGTTGTTTTTCAAGTTGAGGAAATGCTGACTTTTTCAGAAATCATCCTGACTCTGGTTTGGCTTGCCTCGCTTCCTGATACCTGCTGCTTAAGAAGACATTCCAGGGCATCTCTCCAATAACATATTTCAGGGTCCGTATGTTGTATGTTATGTCATTTTACTCTTATATAGCATCTATCTCTTCGGCTGTCATCAAGACCCTCACACTGTTTCTCAAACATGATAGTTACTTCCCCTGATACCTCTGGAGCTCCCGCCTCTGACAGGAGATGCCTAGAAGGATGGAGAGGCTACAGGATTTGCTCAAGGTCAAGCAGAGAGTTTCCAGAAGAGCACGGACAGAAGCCAAGATTTCTTGGTCTTCCCAGTCCAAAGCCAGCCCCTCTCGGCACCCTGCATGATGCCAGGATGGAATGCCTATGAGAAGGCAACATGTCTCAGGTGTGTTTTCCCAGGTTCTATTGCACAAAAATCTGGTGTTAGAAAATCTTGTATCAAGATGCTCCTTCAGCAACACTCCAAGTCAGGCAGGACTGCTGTTTTGGCTTACATGAACTTAACAGCAAGCTCAACTAGCATGATGCATATTTCGACCAGTGAAATCAACATCTAACATCTGAACACTATGTGCTTTAGAGACAAATCACATTTCTGAAAGAGGAAAGACTGCTGTTGATTAGAACGGATTTAAGTCTTTGTTTTCATTTATACTCTACAGGAAAGTTTTTTGGCCATCTTTCTATATTGATGAATATAAAAACCTGAAATTAAACCAAAGATATAGTTAGACAAATGTGATTAATACTTTAAAATTTAACTTTTTCTTCCTGTTTGACTAAGTAACTGCTACTTTTGTTAATACCTTGTACTAATTCACTTCAGACAACTTTAATGATAAATTCTGATGAAGATTATCTGGGAGTTGATTTAATTAGTGTCCACATTCTTCACCACCCTCCATGAGGGTGGGTACCTTTTCTGTTTTTTTCCTCAATATTTGTGGCACCTAGCACCCTGCTTGACAGAGACAGGCATTCAACCTACATTTACTGAATGCTAAAGAACTGACCAGATGCAGAGTTTCAAGAGAAACTAAAGCTGAGAGAACATCTATCAAGGAAAAAAAATCCTACCTCCTCCCCCCAAAAAACCCCAGATTTGATTCTCATGTTCAGTCGGAGGCAAAATTTATGAGTGCAGGCAAAATTCACCGAATATAGCATCCAAGATTCAATCAAGAAAACCTGATTTCTATTTTTTGCCAGACTAATTTAGGGAAGAGAGGTGTCAGGTTCATGAGGGAAAAAGATGCTTCTCAAAGCTCCCTTAACTACTGGGGTTCATCCTTTTCAAATAATAGGCAGGTATCTAAGCCTTGCTATTCTGGGCACACAAAAATCTCTATCCCCCTCCTCTTTTGCCACAGGCACAAAGGTTGAGAGAAAGACATCCCGGTTTTTAGCTCACATTTGTCTAAAAATTATCACAGCAGAATTATTTTGGGGCAAGGTTATCATCCATTGGTATAATGGTTTTTAGGTGACTATATATGGGTGCCAATATAAATATGTTTGATTGTATGCATCTGTTGACCTTCTGAACTATTTCAATGTACTCTAATTTGCTCCACCATGCAGCAAAAAGGAAGTCCTAAAGATTCATTCCTGATGCTTCCTTCTGATTTCCAAATCTTCTATATTTTAATGTATCTTTTGTCCTAAGTCTTAAAGATTCTCCTAGGCGCTTAGTCTCCTAGGTGCCGACAAAGGTCCTCCAAGGTGCCAACAAAGGTGCCTAGTTCTCCTAGGTGCCCACAAAGATTTTCCTAAGTGCCAACAAAGGTCCGTCCAGTCAAAGCTATGGTTTTTCCAGTAGTCATGTATAGATGTGAGAGTTGGACTATGAAGAAAGCTGAGGGCCGAAGAATTGATGCTTTTGAACTGTGGTGTTGGAGAAGACTCTTGAGAGTCCCTTGGACTGCAAGGAGATCCAACCAGTCCATCCTAAAGGGAATCAGTCCTGAATATTCATTGAAAGGACTGATGCTGAAGCTGAAACTCCAATACTTTGGCCACCTAGTGCAAAGAACTAATTCCCTGGAAAAGACTCTGATGCTAGGAAAGATTAAAGACAGGAGAAGGGGATGACCGAGGATGAGATGGTTGGATGGCATCACCGATTTGATGGACATGAGTTTGAGTAAGCTTTGGGAGTTGGTGATGGACAGGGAAGCCTGGCGTGTTGCAGTCCATGGGGACTGGACATGACTGAGTGACTGAAATGATTGTCCTAAGTCTTAAAGATTCTCCTAGGTGCTTAGTTTAGCATTTCTATACATTTGCCTCATTCTAACTTCACTGCTCTACCAGCTCTAAACTGAGATTAACTTGGGCAGAGGTAGCTCTCACATCTTTCTGTCTACTGAAAACAAAAAGGAGTTGTGTTGATGGTGTCTTAAACAGATGAAATAAATTATGTTAGATACAAATTTGAGGTTTTGACTTGCTAACATAAATCTCTTATAAGAATAGTAACAAATGATGAAGAGAATTTGAGTTTTTAAAATGGTATGCCCCAGTATGTCATTACTTATTTGAATCTCTTATCCAAGCATATTAAAATATCACTGGCAAAAAGAAATTCTTAGTCTTAAGATCTATGCAATTCTGACATGTATGTTGTTGTATCAACTGAGGCATGATATATTTTGCTAAAATTAACCAGAGATGAATCTTCAATTCCCTAGTTTATTGTAGGTTATTCTGCAGATTAAGTAGTAGGCCATCTAATAATTAGTTCTAATATCAGTTAACATTTGTATAGCACTTTGCCCTTTACAAAGCGCTATTCAAATATTATTATATTTGTAAAAGCTCAATAGTAATTAACCAATGCTCAGGTCATCGATGGATAACATGATTTGTTAGGGCTGGGAGGACTGCAATGGCCAACATACACCACTAGATGGCAGCAAAATGTAAGCGATAGGACCCCAAACACCAGGTGCTGGGTTCTCTCAGCAGGGACAGGTCCATTAAATCCAAGAAGCGTGGTGAATTTGCTCTGGGTGAATTCTATCACTTGAGGCAGTGCTCCCAGATCTATTAACTGCCTCCAGGTAACGCTTCCAGTATTTCAGGTGAGGGAGGATCAGACTCCTGTAACCTCACTGAAAGGGGGAATATTTTGTGCCATGAGCCAAGCATTCAGGTCTGCATCGTTAGAATTTGTTTTGCTTTTAATGGTGGGCAATATCTGCACAACAGGGGGGAAAAAAAACCAACACCACACTGTCAAGTGTCAAATTGCTTTCTTTCTACTGAAATGTATTCTCCATGCTGTGCTAAGCAAGAGAAAAGTCTGACAACCTGGGTTTTTCTCCTGACTCTGCCACTGAGGGGTGTCACTTTGAACCAGTGTCCTATTTGAGACTCATTCTTTATCTGTAAACCGAAGTGATGATGACTCCTGCTTTAGTATCAATATTTAGGGCATAATCAGGGCTTCCCATGCGGCTGAGTGGTAAAGAATCTGCCTGCCAATGCAGGAGACATGTGTTCGATCCCTGGAAAATGCCCTGGAGTAGGAAATGGCAACCCACTCCAATATTCTTGCCTGGGGAATTCCCATGGACATAAGGGCCTGGTGGGCTACAGTCCATGGGGTTCCATAGATTTGGAGATGACTGAGCAACTAACACTTTCAAGAATAAGAGGTAAGAGGTAAGAATGAAGAAATAAGAATCTTATTACTATATCATAAAAAGTTAATTTTAAAGTTAAATATGCTCAGACATATGAAGGTTCTCGATGTATAAACACCCCTACTTTGGCTAATTCAGTTATCTCCATGGTCCCCCCTATACTCAAACAATGTTCCTATAAACTACTGGAGACAATACAAGAGAGTCACTCCTGATTGTTCCAACTAGCTCAAAGTTTAGAGCAGGCTAATCACATCCCCCCCCACACCCCAGCTTTAAATATCCTGAGCTACATATAGGTTGAACACCTCTGGGGCCAGGCAGGAGAAAGAAGGAAGGGGAGAGGGGAGGGGAGAGAAACTTTTCTTACTCCTTGGTTGGAAAAGGCAATGACACCAACATGTGTATTAGGCTCAAAAATCTTCATCAGCCCCCAAAACAGCTAAGGACCCTATCCCTTCCATTAATCATTCTCTAAAATTTGAGACTTCAATTATGCCTCCAAACTCTTTCTTTGCCCATACTCAAAACCACACGCTTAACATGTCATCTCATCTCTGAAGTGTTCAACTTTATACTTTGAACCAGTGTCCTATTTGAGACTCATTCTTTATCTGTAAACCGAAGTGATGATGACTCCTGCTTTAGTATCAATATTTAGGGCATAATCAGGGCTTCCCATGCGGCTGAGTGGTAAAGAATCTGCCTGCCAATGCAGGAGACATGTGTTCGATCCCTGGAAAATGCCCTGGAGTAGGAAATGGCAACCCACTCCAATATTCTTGCCTGGGGAATTCCCATGGACATAAGGGCCTGGTGGGCTACAGTCCATGGGGTTCCATAGATTTGGAGATGACTGAGCAACTAACACTTTCAAGAATAAGAGGTAAGAGGTAAGAATGAAGAAATAAGAATCTTATTACTATATCATAAAAAGTTAATTTTAAAGTTAAATATGCTCAGACATATGAAGGTTCTCGATGTATAAACACCCCTACTTTGGCTAATTCAGTTATCTCCATGGTCCCCCCTATACTCAAACAATGTTCCTATAAACTACTGGAGACAATACAAGAGAGTCACTCCTGATTGTTCCAACTAGCTCAAAGTTTAGAGCAGGCTAATCACATCCCCCCCCACACCCCAGCTTTAAATATCCTGAGCTACATATAGGTTGAACACCTCTGGGGCCAGGCAGGAGAAAGAAGGAAGGGGAGAGGAGAGGGGAGAGAAACTTTTCTTACTCCTTGGTTGGAAAAGGCAATGACACCAACATGTGTATTAGGCTCAAAAATCTTCATCAGCCCCCAAAACAGCTAAGGACCCTATCCCTTCCATTAATCATTCTCTAAAATTTGAGACTTCAATTATGCCTCCAAACTCTTTCTTTGCCCATACTCAAAACCACACGCTTAACATGTCATCTCATCTCTGAAGTGTTCAACTTTACAGTGTGATAAAGCATGTGCATGTCAGGGGTTCTTATTTAACCTCAGCTTGCATGTGAGAGATGTCATAACTACCACCTACTAAGTGAAGATGTGACTTCACTTACACGTGATGAAATACGTGATACCTTCAATACTTCCACCATTAATTCTTGTAAGTCTGAACTTAATAGGTGAGGTGGTATGGGGGTCACTTTAGATCACCAGCTCTTAAAGCCCAGACATTTAAACACTGATAATTTTGGTAAACACTGATCTGATTCATATTTGAACAGTACCCATGATAGTATGAAGTAAATGAATTAATAGATTAGAGGTTATAATAGTTTATAATAGATTGGTGCTTATAATCTGTTGAGTTTCCTATTAACTTCAACCCCATAAGATCTAAACACAAGCTTCCAAAACATAGGAAGGTCCAAAAAGGTCCAATGCAGGTTCTCATTGATGTCACTATTTCAGAAGGCATAATAAAACTGCATTTATCTTCCCACACAAACCACATGGATGAGACAAAACATTCAATGTCTCACTAAACCAGTATGTTTAACACCATTTTTTGAGGTTGTTTTCTGATTATTCTCTTCTGTTTTTGTTTTTTATAACTGAAATGAGAAAATACATTTTAAGATATTTAGTTTAATAGACAAAATCTTTAAAATGCACAAAGTTTTTTTGGGGGGAGGGGTCTATTAATAGTGAGGATGGTAGGAATGTCTGGTGTCACCTCTGTTTGTTTCCATTTTGATGCCTCTGACACTGGATTTCATAGGGAAATCTAAATTATGAGGCAAAGCCTCTCTCCGTCAAATCAAATTCAAAGAATATTTTCAACAGATCTTTAAAAAAGGTTGTCATTCTTACACATCCCCAGACAGATGTCTCATACGATAAGTACAAGACAGAATCTAAGGTATTGGAAACTTAGCGACAGCTACAAAATGACATTTGTTGCTCTGTATGGAAACAACTGTCTATTGTCCAAGTTGTCTATTTTCTGAAACATGGTTTTCAGAACAAATAAGCTTTAATTACAGATTTTTAAAATTATTATTCTGAGTAAAGGAATTCAGGACTGGGTCCTACAAATATTTCACCATAGAATGAAACATTTTATAGCAAAGAAAGATCTAATCTCTGAGCATCAGAGAGGGAATGGAATCAACATACTTGTATTCAAGACTAGGGTCAAAGCAGCAGTTTTCCAGGGCATCCAAAGACTTCATCAGAAGAAGGTTCATCTGTTGGCTAGATATATCACTGGGTGAAGACCAAGAGCGAAAAATGAGTTATTGAAAATCATGCAACTCTCCAACATATTTACTATGCAATATTTTGCTCTTAGTATTTTACTGAAAATCATTTCATTAAAAAAACATGAAAGTAGCAAACAACAATACTGATGATGTACATATATCCCGCAGACAGAGAAACTGAGTCAAAGAATTCATTCAATAGTTAGGTTTCTGAATATCGTCATCACTTGCAAACCAATGTTTTGCATTTTTTCTCAGCTCATTCAAATTTTAAATCACTGAAAAACAAGAGCTCAGAATTCCAAAAAGAATATTTCTAGGAATGCTAAGGTGACTTTCCTCAGAGGATGTACTAACATGCTCAGCTGATACCATCAATGATCATTCCAGATCCATCTGGCACTTCTGACTTTATGTGTCAAATATGAAGGTTTTCCAGTTCTATTCTTTTTTTTTTTTTTTAAAGGAGGCGGACAAAAACCTGGCCCTTTATTTTTCTGCCTTTATAAAGTAATTAATGTGGGTTTTGTAATTGTGAGAACTATGAGAACTTAGTGAGAACTATGATTTCTAGGGTAAAATGAAACTTAAAAGGTAGCTCTATGTCTGTTTTTTCAGGCAGAGTTGTGGGCTTCATCACTGACACTTTATTATCAAGGGGTCCCTGCATTTCAGCTTTCTGCTTGCGGTCTTGGACCATGCTGAGTGGAATGCAGTCCCTGGAATGCCAGCCAGCCAGAGAGTACTTTAAGTAATATCCTCTCCAACCAAGACTACAGTGGTTTCGCCTGGGGTGAAGGATTACATTTTGTGATGAGAAAACACGCACACGAGCACACACAATTTTAATAGTTTTAACTAAGTAAGTCTTATAGATGTTCTTTGGAGCAAAGCGTACTTAAATATCCTAAACAAATGCTAAAGAGGCTGAACTATTAATAGAATCCTCTGGGAGTTATGACAGAAGCAAGCTTTGGAATAATACGCTTTTCTGAATAAATTCTAGACTGGAATTGAAATTCAGGAGATTTTTCATAAGCCTTAGCAAGAAAAAAAAATGGATTGAATGTCAAAATTCTTTTACACAAAGTGATTTTTCATTTTTGAGACCAGGATATTGTCCTGATCCTGTTGTCCTAAGGGGCCATTTTGGGCCACTTATTTGATGTCATTGATTATTCAGAGTTGCTGCTGCTGCTAAGTTGCTTCAGTCGTGTCCGACTCTGTGCGACCCCATAGACGGCAGCCCACCAGGCTCCTCTGTCCATGGGATTTTCCAGGCAAGAGTACTGGAGTGGGGTGCCATTTCCTTCTCCATATTCAGAGTTAGTAGCCCTCAAATCGCTTGAGTTTTGGAAAAATAGAAATTTTCTCCAAAAATGTCATTACCTGGTAAAGACTGTCATTATCTAGTAAAATATTTATTAGTACCAAAAGACAAATATTTCAGATTCCCCTGCTCTATGAGATTAGGACCTCCCTAATTCATTTCTTAATTCTATGAAATAGGGGCTTCCCTGGTGGCTCGGTTGGTAAAGAGTCCACCTACAATGCAGGAGACCATCTGAGATGCAGGAGACCCAGTTTCAATCCCTGAGTCAGGAAGATCCCCTAGAGAAGGACATGGCAACCCACTCTAGTATTCTTGCCTTGGAAATTCCACGAACAGAGGAGTCTGGTGGGCGAGTCCACGTGGTCACAAGAGCTGGATGTGACTTAGCAAATAAAACCACCACCATTGTGAAATAGTAAGGTGGGAACCATGAATAATTACATTAATGTCTGCAGTACTAAAACACCAACCAGAAGGAGAATGCTATCAAATGCAGGATCGTATGGCAAAGGCAAAATCTGCAGTTACACCGTGGGCTCTCTGCCAGAGGAAGAGTTTTCTGGTGTCCTTCCCCAGGGTTTCCTGCAGATGCAGGCAAGTCAGCATTGGGGTGGAAGGCAACTTAAGAACCAGGGAAGGATGCTTTAGGAGAATCACTGTACATTTCTTCAGGTAGTAAAATTAAATTAACCACACTGCAAGTCTGTCAAGCCCTAAAACCAGGAGCATCTCCTCCTAAACTAAAAAGAAGAGAGAGAGCCAGGACAGGATGAAATGAGTTGTCTGGAATTAAAAACTGCCACGGCTCATTTTTAGTTGTAAAACATGTAGCTTGAAAAGATACTGAAGGAAGAACATGAACACAGATGGTGAAGAGACTGCCATTTGTAACACAGAAGCAAAGGGGGGAGAAAGTCACTTTCAAGTTTTAAGTCTTTAAAAATACTTTGTGTTCGACCACTCACACACAAGATATGTAACAGTCCATTCGTATGCAAAGGGAAGCTTCTTATTTGTGTCCAAAACGAGGCCTGTGTGTACTAATACTGGTGAATAGAACAAAATGAGTATTCTGGAAACGTTTCATTTATGATCACAAAGACTAAGCCTATCTTCCCAAATATTCCATAGATGTTTCCAAGGGCTGAAAATGATCATCTGAAATATAGTACTTCCCTAGATCCACAGCAGTTCTCATAAAGGTTTCACATACTGATGTTTGCACAAAACTATGGGAATTAACAAATGTAAACTTAACCACTGATTTCAAACAGAAATCTAAATATAGCATAATGTCATCCAATTTACCCACATCAACACCATTTCCTGCCTTTGGACAGATGGTTTCTGCCAGCTAGGGAAGCATCAGGACTGCTAACATCAAAATAGAATGCCTCTCCCTACCGGCCCTACTATTTCCAATGGAGGAAAATGGGGCTGAAATTCCAAGTCAGTGACATCTAAAGATTCATGATCTTCAAATATTCATGTTGTACCACACTACCATTAATCTGGATATAGAAAATTCTAAGATCAGTTATAAAATAAAGAATAAATATAATGAACACCAAAACTAAAGTCGATTCATGCACAAGGGAAATTTTTCACTAGTGGAATTTTCCACCTGGGTCTTTGATATTCTATTAGCTCCATTCAAGAGTAAAGCTAGCAGTCTACAAATGAGCAATCAAACTGAATAAAGCACCCAGTATAATATGCACAGATTAAGACTCTTTAAGGATTACTAAGATGCAGCCAGGGCACAGGATAAAAGTAATACTTAAAACCGGGTACATGCAGTTCTCAGGTGATTCAGTGATGCCCGCACCCTCAGGCACAGGGCTACCCCAATCTTTCTCCCATTTTATAGTGGTATCAATGAATGAGCAGTCATTTTCACCCTTATAAACCAGAAGGAAAAGATGCTTTTTAAAATTTATAGCACCATATGATTAGACTTTCCTCATGTCTATTACACAGGGCTTTCATCTAAGCATGAAATGATTTTCAAGTAATCAATCACTTAAAAAAAAAAAGCAACCCTTAAAACATATGAATATCTCTGTGATGGTATTTGAGAGAGACAAATTCATTCATAAAAGAGAAAAAAGGATCAACATGCTCAGCTTGAAAAGTTTAGCACCACAAATAGCTCAGATATAAGGTATGTGTGTATGTGTGTGAGAGAGAGAGAGAGAGAGAGAGAGAGAGAGAAATCAATCACCTAAGTCACAAAGAGGAAAAAGAGGAATATTTTAATAAACTGTACCTGAGTTTCTCCTCACACAAGCGAGAGAGAAACATCCCCAGTGCAAGGCCCATGTGGATTTGCACGGCTTGAGACTCATCAGCGCTTGGTTTCCCAGGTAACCTGGCAGTCAGCATGTTCAGGATTTCCTCAACCTTCTCTTTGCAAGAGATAATGAAAATTGGCACAAGGAAGGACAAAGCCGTGGCGGCCGCGGAACGGGCAATGGCACTGGCCGTGTTTTCACCGGAATAGGATTTCTAGGACATGCCAGAGAAAGAAAGCAAGGGGTTGGCCTTTTGTTTAAAACATGAAGGCAGCACACCTATCACGAAAGCACAGCACAATACAAGCTTCTCTTAAACCCACCCTCGCCACTCCAAAAAATTATCAAAAAAATAAATCTGTTTCCGTGTTTATCTACGGGCTACCTTTTTACTCTTAGGAAAACAATTTGCTGCTAAGCCATTGGTCAACTAATAATATCCTTTTAAATTTGAAATAAAAAACAAACAAAAAACAGTGTCTCCTTTTAATGGGTGTGAATTCCCTCGCTATAGAGCCTGAAACAATTTCAGTGTTTTGAAAGCTCACATGAGTATACAACGAAAAAGCTCCAAGTGAAGCTGTCCAAGCTTGGAGAAACCACCGAGTCACATTATACATGTCCAGGAAGCCAGGAGTTGTCTGGGAGAGAAAAGGGGTTAGGGTGGGGGCAGTTCAAGTTTAGTTACAGAAGGGTAAGTGTAAGCTATTGGCGGATCTCCCAAAAATTTGGGTGGGAACATTTCCCAGTAGATGGATTATTTCCTACAGGGGGTTAATTCCTTTTAATTAAAAAGGAAGTTGAAATCCTAAAAGCCTCTGGTTACAAAGCAATAACCAGCTATTCAAAATGAAACGGAGAGCACTGTAATGCTCCTCTCCTATGTGTAATTATGGGAAAAGAAATGAATAACAGCCCTAATAAAATGACAGGGCAGCTGAATCTGAACGGCTTGTACAAGAATCCTGCGTTAGAGAGTTCCACCAGACATTATATACATTTATCAGTATGTCTCAAGTGAGGAAGAAAGCCCGTTGATCATTCCTGAGTATTACCCACTTCAAATTTGCAGACACACAATAAAGGCCGTGTTGTCCCTTGCAGTCAAAACACATTAAAAAGTGTTTTTAATTCTATCCTCATTTGCTCTCTAAGCTTTAGTCCTTTAAGGATAAAAAGCAAACATGTGCTAAGGGATTCTTATTTAAGTTAATACAGTGCTATTATAATGACAATGCTACTTAAAATGACCCAGCTGCTAGGACAAAGGAAATAAAGGAAGTGGCTTTTGAAATAGCGGTTTGAAGAAGTATAATAATGCAAGACTTACAAAGGTAAGAGGCAACCTGGAGCTGCCTAGTAAAGACATTATTTTTACTGGTTTGTAAGAACTAAGTAGCACTATTAGAAATCTAATAGATAACTTGTCTTGCTGCTATTTGAGGCATATAGCTACTGCAAAGACCTCCATATAAGCTAACAAGTTTTTCATCCATCATTAAAGAAATAAGAACACTTCTGACAGAAAACAAATTATCATAGAGAAAGTACTTCTTTGAGCAAAATCTATTTTCCAATATAATTATATGTTATCTAGTACGTAATTTTTTTTGTTCTCTAGTCAGAAAGCTGGTTCCTGACCCTCAGCCCTAGATAGATATACACCAGGTCCTCTCAGGGGCAGGAGGACAGAGGCACACAAAATGTTGCACAAAGAAGACCTAAGGCGATGACGTTTCAGGCTAAATTCATAATCTTAGCAACAGTTCAGGACTTATGCTATATTTTTATTCAAATCAGCTATAATTCTCTGCTACTCAGCTGATTGTCCCATGATCCCTATAATTCCCTAAGCAATGGATAGTGATAAGGTAGAACCAAAATAATTCCATGCAGATACAGAATTAGAGCATGCACAACAGTTAGTTAAGGGAAACGAAATCTAAACCAACAAATCGTGTTTTCAATTTGCTTCAAATCTTAGCATATAAGCATGAAGAAAGAGAATGACTTAAGTAACAGGTGCTTTTATATGATCAACAATATTATTTGGTATTTACAGAGCATTTTGCCTTTCCATTTTCCCATAAATTATATAATTGGATCCTTACAATCTTTTATAAGGCTGGCAAAGCACTCATTTTTACCTTCACTTTACAGGAAGGGAAAAAGAAGATGACAAGTTAAGTAGCTGTCAGGTCAACAGTCACAAAACTAATAAGAGGTGAAGTTGGGGCTACAATCACTGCAGATAATACTGTTCAATAATCTCAATTTATGAACAAGGACACAAAGGGCCAGACCAATGAACTGAACTTCCTGTGGTCACACATCCTGAAATGAAAAAAAACTGACAAGAAACTTAGGATCCTCCATATTCAGCCAATGTTTATTTTGCTTCAACACTTGCCTCTGATTTTACATTAAAATAACTTAGAAACCTTCCAAAATGTTGATACACAGGACACATTCCAAAGTATTTAAATCAGAAGTGAGGCCTACACATCAATATCTCATATATATATACCTATATATATATACATATATATATATATATTTAAAGTTCCTCAGGTGATTCTAATGTACAGTCAAGGTTGACACTTACATCTAATGTATAGCTAAGGCCAAGATTTACATTATATCATAGATTTCATGTGAACAATTGATACTAGAATCAATTCTTGAGTTTCTAAATTATTTTTTGTTTCTCAAACTTACATGATAAAATGAGGAGAAAAATTGTCCTCTGGGTTGGTAGTGGCTATCAACAATGACCAGAAGGGTATCAAACACCATGGTAACCCAATCTTTCACTGACAGGAAATGAGGTTGAACCTGCAGATGAAGGAAAACATGAAATGATAATGGGAAAAAAAGAAAAAAACCTAATCATTGTTTTTAGATCCAGGGTACAACTTCCTTCTGTATAAAAGAATGAAGAGCTATTATTAAAAACTAAACTTCATCTGCCAGGACCGCACGAAGTAAACAGGTATTTGACAAATACACATCCTCACCTGCACCCCCACGTGAATAAAGTTTACCCTTCAGACAAAAC